AGACACGGAAGTCATTAAACCCGAATTAGAGCATTGTTTTTGTACGTGCAGTTTCCAGCCACCTGATCCAAGAGAGGATGCGGGTGCCAGAGCTGCCTGGTCCCCTCTCAGCAGTCACTGGCAGAAAAGCACGTCGCATCTGTGAGTGACTGCAAGCTTCCCTGGCCCTACACAACTGACGAGACCCAGCGAAGCACAGACTCTGTCCTGCCTCTCTGCTCCTACTTAGTCCATCTCCCACCTCCTTGTCTTCTCCAGCATGTCCACCATGAGGTGCTTCTCATGTGTTCTTTAATCACCCATCCCAAGGACAGAAAACACCAAAACCCAAGAGACCCTACAGTTTACCGGCCTGCCAGTCCTGCTTCTCCTCCTGAGAGCACCTGGGGGGTGGGATACAGGAGGGGGAGAGTTGGGGGGCCAAGAGAAGAGGTGGTGCAGCCAGACCCCCTTCAGTGCTCCATTAAGCAAAATGCCACACATAAAAGACATTTGATGTTCCACAACCCCTCTATAAATGCTACCATTGAGGCTTGGTGAGGACAGAAGGCTGTTGTCAGTGAACAAATACATCAAAGGAGTTCAGGGCTCTGAGCATTAAAGGATATTAATCTAGGGAGGCAGTTTCTTGCCTTTCCAAAGATTTTTCAGCCTGGCCCAAAAGTGAAATGTTAGGTCAAAAGCCAGAAATGGAAGGGTTGGATATCTTGCTGCAGCAGCAGGAGCTGCTCTGTACTTCTGCAATACGAGGGAACTCCAAAGTCCTTTTTAGGACTTTTTAGGATCTTATTTCTGTTCCACTTCAACCACCCTGCTGTGACACAGCCTGAGACTTCTCTCTGCAAAGGTCCCAGGCGGGGAAAATATCTACGAACCAAGCTTCCAACAGATATTTATTTGTTTGCGTTGAAATCAATGCACATGAAACAGTGTCACTCCCATGTGCTGCGCACCTTTGCCATCAGTTAAAATACAGTTTAAATAGTATCATATGACCAGGACAGCAGCCTGGCTCCTTCTCCATGACCAGCCACACAAACACAGCCAGCAAACACAGAACAAAACAGGCCAGGACCTTGCCCATCTCCCCCCGGCCATCCTCCCTGCCTGCCCAAGCACTGCTCAGCAGCTAAAGTCTGGGTCTTGGAGCTTTGTGGGGTGGAGGTAGGGATGAATCAGGGGAGCAAGTTTTGAATCAAGGGCTCTTCCTTGCCTTTGGCTCCCTCTCGGTCCATCCAAACAAACTGGCTCAGTTACTCACCCTTCCCAAGAAGACCCTGGAGAAGGCAAGGACAGTGAGGGGGAGCCTTCTAGGTCTTGAGCATTTGGTCTGTGTGGATCAAAACAAACACCAGAATTGCACCACGTGCATGATTGCAGAGTGAGCAAGCAAAGCAGCCACTGGACAGTTTCTGGAAGAGCAGGGAGTGAGTGGCCCAATCTGTCCCATCAGCTCCAGGATGGATGCTACCAATGATGGCCTGTTACCCCTGCTTGGACAACAGCCCCAACTGTGTACTGCACCTCATTCCATTACACAGGGTTGGCAAAGCAGAGAGGAGCTCTCTGTGACTTAATTTGTCCCTATGATCTACAGGGTGCTCCCTCCAGCCCACACTGAAGCCTCCCCCAAGTGAGGAGAGCACCAGGAACTGGCAGGTGGTGTTTGTAGGATGCTGTAGGTCATTAACAATAAGCAGCACAAAATGTAAGCAGTCTTCAGACTGAGACCATTGAAGTCAACTCAGAGGTGACATGAACCAAAGCAGGGTCATTTTTGCTAGAGATGACCAGGTGCCATGTTGGCCCATTTGGGCCTTGCACCCTGGTCCCAGTGTGCAGAGTGGTTTAGTTTGTGGACTCTTCTGGCTGCTGGTAAGATCCATATGAGGAGGAGATTGCTCAGGAAGGACAAGTGAGTGGAAACCCCCTTGCAAAGGTTAGAGAACAGGTTCCCACACTGGTTTTCTGGCAGTGCTGATAAAGAAATGCAGGAAGAACTTGGACCTGCTTATGGCATTGCACTAGGAAGGATCCCACCTGCATTGTGTTTTGTAAGGATGAATGTGCTATCAGGTGCAATGGAAAGAGCCAGATGGCTTGTGACCATCTCACTGGCATGGGCTTTCCAGACAGTGACCCAGGCAGAAACACCATCTCAAGACCCTACAGCAAGACGCAGCAGGACTGAGCTAGAGGAATCAGCATTTTGGCCAGAGGGCAATCAGAGCTCTTGGGCAGCCACCCAAATGGGAGGCCACCCCAGGACACCCAGTAAAGCCATAGCAGCCTACTGGGCAGAAGTGCAGGGCGGGAGACGTGAGAGGCCTTCGCACCCAGCGAGAAGGAGAGCCCCTGTCCTGCCTCGATGGGCGTTAGCAGCTCTGGCTGTGCCATCTCGACACAGGTGGATGCTTAGAAGGGACAACAGGAACTGAGACACTGCGTGACCTCAGGGTGCTGTGAGTCTTTTGCACAGGACTTTATGTCCAGCTCATGGTGTCAAGCCCAGAGGCGCTGTCTGGGGCACTGGAGGGCAGGACAGAATGCCCTCTTGGCAGTGAGAGTGTCTCTCACCTGCTGTCTCCACCTTCCACTGCCACTTTTCCAGACTCCTGTTTGGTTTTCATTTCCTTCTGCATGCTGCCCTGTTCTTCTGAATTTTTCTCCTTTTCTCTTTTGCTCGAATTTCCTCCTTTTTCTTGGAGCTGAAAACTGAATCCAGTAATAGTGAGGTGGGGAAAGCAACTCATCTGCCCGTAGTTCAACACACCAGGTCTGTGTTCAGGTGATAACTTCACAAGAATTAGCCCTTCATACAGCCAGCTCTGGGGACTGCCCCTTTGCTCAGCTCTACCCAGAGCCATGGAGCACCTTGCAATAAAACCGACACAAGCACAACAAAACCCAGACCAGAGACATTTCCCACCAAGAGTCCTCAGGAATCATCCCATAGAGACTCATAACGTGGTGCAAGGATGAGACATAATCTGTGGCCACAGCATGTCTTGGATGGAGGAGCACAATGCTCTCCAAACATTAGCTCCCAGTGCTTTTTTTATTACTCTGTCCAGGTGAAGGACTGCACTGGTCCTCTTTGTCATAGACTCACTTGCCACTGCTGCACACACCTCTTCCAAGCTGAGCCCGGGTGGAATTCAGTGTTTGTTGATGTCATGGAGGAGACGACCGTTGACGTGGCACCAAGGACACATGCCATCATTCAAGCTTGCACCAGCCCGCTTGGGAAGTCTCTTCAGTGGTGGTGCTGCAGTGGGAAGCATGAACAATGACGGGAAGTTGAAACTCTCGGAGGAGAGCAGATTGTGGACTCTGGCTGGAGACCTGGGGAGGAAAGACAAGAGATAGGAAACCATGGGTTGCAACCATGGGATCCCCTTGGTGCCTCCCTTCTCCAATGGCTAGAGACCCAACTCTGCTTTACAGAGCGCCTAATGCCAATGGGACTAACTCTTGGGTGTCAGGCCACCTGCCGCAATGGAAGTCTCCGGCAATATTAAGGATGAGATGTATCGTCCCACAGAGACTACAACGCACTGGACCTCCATTACCATCATTTTCCTTTTACACAGTGCTTGTCACACATGCTGTCAGTCAGGTCCTAGCACTCAGCTTTGGCCATGCTCATCACCTACTGGGTGAAGCCCAGGCATGGAGGAAGGTGGGAGCTCAGTGGGTGAGTGGTTTTACCTCCTTGCTGCTGCCCTGTGATGAGCTGTAAGGTCTGGACTCAGATTTGTGGTGCTGGAGCCCAGAATTTTACTTCAACTGTATTAAAGCACATCCTTAGAGACATAACTTCATCTCAGATGTGAATTGCTTCACCTGTGTCCTCACCACACTCTGGCAGGAATGAGCTCAGCTCACCAGCTATCACCAGCTCAGCCTTTGCTCCACCCCACACCAAGCTGTTTAGGCCTTGCTTGACTTGTCTGCACCCCACAGACACCAATTTTGGCAGCATGTGCTGTGGAGCAGTGTCATGCACAGGCATAAGAGTAGGGAGGCAGCTTAAGCCAGGCAGAGCTGGTCCAGTGGGGATCCAACCACCCACCTCTGTGAGCCTGGTCACTTCAGCCTCCTCCTGGGATAAGGTGGGGAAGTCCACACCAGGCTGCACTGGCAAGAAGCACCTCTCTGTGGGTCTGCCACTCCCTGAGACTTCTACAAAGTGACAATGTTTGGAATGGGTTTATGTCCTGAACCACTGGCAAAGGGACAGGGACATGTCTGGTTGCCCCTTGGCAGCCAGAAGATAGTCCTGCACAACTGACACAGCCCGGCCCTTACTAAACTCTGTTTTAAAACTAATGGGCACGTCACTTTACGGTTGGGCACCTGTGGCTGTCAGCAGATGCCAGTGATTCAACTGCAACCCGCTGAAAAGGAGCAGGCGGGAGGGTCAGCGAGAAGGCACATGAGGACCCTCAAGGACAGAAAGGCCTGATGGTTTCTTAGGTTATCAGAGAAGATGCTACGAGAGGACAAAGGCATTGGTGTGTAACTCCATGAGCACCAGGTGTGCACAGCAGTGGTACATTTGACCGACAACTCCCTCCTGTACGTGCTTACAAGGAGATGCCTTGGTGCCTGGGGTATGCTACCTGCAGTGCGCTTGGCCCCGCTTCTCCCCGCCCTCCATCTCTCTTCCCCCTCCACCGAACTCCCAGCATCCCCTCGTCCTCCTCCCAGCCACAACCACTGCTGCTTCCCTTCCAGACCCTCTCTCAGGACTCGGTGGGGCTCCAGCAGTTTACCCCGACGGCAGCCCCTCAGAGCAGGGCTGCAGCCTGGTGGTCCCTCACGCCCCACACCTGCAGCACCAGGAGCTGTGTGTGCCCCGGACATCCGCGCTCACCCGCCCCACACAGGCACTTGGCTGTTTCAGCACGCCAAGGAAGCCCCTCTTGCCCGGCCCACCTTCCCGGGACGTGGACACTACCATGGTCATGTCCTGTGCAGAGGAGCTGGGGGCTGGCCTACATGATGGAGCAGGTGAAGCCACAGCACTCCTTGAGCAGGGTGAGGCCTGTTTTGGTCATGTACGGTGCGGATGTTTGCTGCCCCCTGGAAGTCATTTTCTTCTCTTTGACAGGAGCTACGGAAAGAGGAATCGGTGTCTGCCTGGTGACGAGAGCACAGGCCCAATTGCTGCTTCTTAGAGCTCCTTTCAGGGATAAGATGGTGACCCACAGCTGGGCATGAGCTCCTGCATCCAGGAGGCACATCACCATGTGTGCTACAGGCACAGACACAGGGACCCTGGCCTGGAAATGCCTCCCACCGCACTGGGGAGGTGTTCCTCCAGCAATGATGCAGGCACAGGGAAGAGGGTAGATGTCAGAGGCCATGAAGAAAGGAGGACTGGATGGATATCACAATTTGTGACCTTAGCTAATGGTGTGATGAAATGTAAGGAGCTGGTTGGAAAGGGTCAGATGAAGTACATCAGCCATAAAAAGATACCTACCTGTCCCCATTCTGATAGAAAATGCTGTGTGGGAAATGCCAGCAGGGAAATGGAAGCATAACATCTGTACTGATTCAGGATGTTTCCACAATGTGATCTCAAGCACCAGCATCCCCCAGTTGCCATTTCCCCACACCCTCCTCCAGCAACAGATGGCCTCCAGGTAAGCTAGCCCCATGCAGAGCAACAAAATCTTGGGGACAGAGTGCTTAGGAAAGGGGAGAAACTGCCAGGGCGGTTCAACGCAAGGAATAAAACTCATCAATCACTTACTTGCTTTCTGGAGGTAGCTTTTGGAGAGCTTACTTTGCAGGAACTCTGCCATTTCCTTGTCTTCTTCCCTTTCCCTGTGACAAAGAGATTGGTCAGCACTCAGGAAAGGAGCAGCAAAGCATTCAGGACCATCTGGCAAGGGATGATACAGATCAGAGGACAGACTGCACTGTCCTCAGTGCAAGGAATAAATTGCACCCAGCTACCTGAGCCTCTCAAACTCCACATCGTCCACCAGGAAATCCCGCGTTTCCACCAGCTTGTGTATCTGCTGTACCAGCTCCTCTTCCCTCTGCTTCTCCTCGTTGGACTTCTCGTTCTCTGCAGCACAGGGAACACATTTAACACACAACAGGGGCCACCCTGCCCATGCCAAGGCCAAGCTTGCTCTGCTTCTGCTCAACCTGGGAGCAGATGTGAGAGTGGGGGTAAAAGCCAACCCAAAGTAAGCACTTGGATCCAGATACAGGCTGCTAAATAAGCAACAACCTCATCCCAAACCACCCTGGCTGGGAGGAGACAGGTCTGGTGTCATCAAACTTTTAATTTTTAGCTTCTCCCCAAAATTTTCATGGGGCTGAGCACTGCAAGATGCAACTGTGAGCTTTGCAGAGCAGAGGAAGATGACCATGGCTCTGGTGGAAGATGACCATGGCTCGCTCAGGGTCTTCACCCTGCACTGCTGAAGAGGCTGGGTACCAGGTCTCAACAAGCTCAGAAATGTCAGACTTGGATGTCATCCTTCAGCTAGGATGTGCTTAACCTACATTTCCCATGCCAGCACACCCAACCAGTCTCAGCTTGGCCCTGAGCTGGGTCCAGAGGCCTCTGAGCCAGGGCCTCCATGTGGCTGAGAAACCAGCCAGGGATTCAGGTGCATAGGGAATTATCAAGAATGCCCAGACGCCTTGGGAACACCTCACACCACCATTTATCCCAGACATACAGAGACATGAAAACCAATACCATCCACTGTTTTTTGTAGCCTTATTCCCTTGCTGAACACAGTCCCTGTAATCTCATCGTCTACATCTGACCTTTCAAACCACTGTCAGCCCCATTCCCACGCCAGCGACAAGGATGACCACAACTGTCTGCCAGGCTATTTTGAATGCGTTAGCCTTGGTTGTCACCTGAACCCCCACACTGACCTACCCTGAGCACGGTGGGACCCACTTGTGCCAGTGAGTTAGTGAAGACCTGAAAACTCTCACATCACTATGAAGTCATGTCCTATATAAATTGGTACATAATAGTAAGTGGGATACATGAAGATGATAGAGATAGGGCTAAGGAGTGTTAAATGTAAATGGAGAGCTACCTTAGGTGGAAAATATGACTGTCTGTGCTGCAGCTATTTAATACCATTTCTGAATTCAGCAGCCAGCTCCAAAATCAATCCAGCACAGGATGGATCAATCTCCAGTCTTCCTTCAGCTAAATAAAAATGCAGCGAAATTCACAGTACGGAGCAAACCCTATGGGCTGGGTCTCAGCAGTTACCTAAGCTATGTGTTGATTTGTAGTTTAAGTCTGCTATATATTGATTGGAGGTGCTGCTGCAGGGGTCTGAGTAGGAGGAACTTCTACTTCATCATGATGTTAGAAACATCCCAAGCAAACAAAAGTTTCTCCTACAATTGCGATCTTGTGTAGGGAGTGAGCTCAAGCTTCCTGGCAGAGAAAGCTGATCTGGACTGAGGTCTGGGCCACAGCTGCTGGTCTTCTACCATGAAGAGTTAATGCAAAGTTGCCCGGCCGCTCCCACCTGCCTGGTGGGAATAGGAGCACTTTACAATGTCATTTGGATGGCATACAAATCGGAAACATCAGGCTGTACACAAACTTACCAGCTATTTGGAGTTAATTAACAATCTGCATTCCTGAGTTAGAGCGTGTCACAGTTAACATGCTTGCTGTATAAACACTGCACCTTTTTTTCCGACTTGCTGATGTCAGAGTCCATCATGACCACGATATCTCTCTGAATTATTAAAGGTACCTTGGTCTGGTGAGGTTTGAAGTCACAGGTCTGGCTGAGCTCTAAGTAAGCAGTGACATGTTTGAATCTTTATCCAAACCAAAGTTCAACACCCATTTTCACGAATTATCTGCTGCTATAGTCTCACAAGACCAATGATTTGCAGGATTTTTCCAGCACAGTCTGATTTGAGCCAAGTTATAAAGAAGACAAAAAGAGCATCCCTGATGCAAGCAGCATTTCTGCTCTCAGCTGAATCTGGGAATGCTGAAAAGGCTAGAAATGAAAGACCAAAGCAGATGAAGGAAAGCCAGCCACATTTCTCAAGCTTCAGAAAAGGCCAAGTTTATCTCTGGTCCTGAGCCATCGTTTAGGTCAAGTCTTGTTTTATGAACTAGAACATGTTTGAATTAAAAGCCCACATGAGATTCAGGTCTACGTTTTGCAAGCAGCTCCCATTTTTATGGCAGAATACTCCCCTCCTCTGCCTGAACCTCCCTCTGGATACAGCCAGGTTGTATTAAACTGATCAAGACCTGCATATTAAGCAGCAGTTGGGCTCTACCTGCATGCTGATGATTCACAAGCACACACAGAATAGCAAAACTATGGCATTAGAAAGGGTCAAGGTTTCTTGCCACCCTTGGCTTTGAGATAACCTTGGGTACAGAACCGATGAGCTGAGCTGCTGCTCTGGGAAACAGATGTGCACAGCTGGTCCCTTGACTGCATCCAGGCATCACCCCCTGCTACACACTCATTGGTCTTAGCGAGTGCAGCATCTTCAGCAAGATACTTGTGGTGGTCCAGATCTTAATGCTTGGATGGGTACAAATAAGCAGGGATATGTCTCCCATCTGGTTCTGAAAACACATATAAAGTCCTTACTGGGGGCTGAATGAAGGTGTCCTAGGAGGAGGCATAGCCTTATGAACAGTGATGGACGCAGCTTGTGGGGAAGCCTTTCTTGCTCGTTCTCATTCCCTGAGCTGTTTGGCATGTGCTTTCGTTTGACTGTTTTGGCTGAGTGGGATCCTTTAGCGAACCAAGGTTTGGCCTTTCCTGGGCTATGAAGGGTCAAGCGTGGCTCTGGCTGTGACAGGGACATGGAGGGTCACTGGTCATGGTAAGGGCAGGGACAAAATCAGCGTTTCCTCCCAGTTGCAGTTTTCACATATGTTGCCCTGGACTGTTTGCCTCTTTTCAACATCCTGAATGATGAATTCACCTAAATCAGGAGCATCACTGGCCCCCTTTGGCATGACAGCCCCCTAGCACCCATCCTACCCTGGCTGCAACCAGGAATCCTTCCCTGGCAGCTGCTGCCATCTGCCCCATCACTGACACACATTTCTGACATGGCCACAGCAAGAATTCGTAGCTTTTCACGTACTTGTGGCCTTTGAAGGTATCTCCCCTCCTGCTACCTCCAAAGGGGCCCCTTCATGGTGTGGTCTGACAATGTCCCCTGCTTGTCCTCTCAACTCATTTGGGGGATCCTCCTTGGTCTACGTGGCAGGTCCCACTGTGGCATCCATTGCCACCTCACTCAACTCCTGTCTTCCTCCTATACCAGACCCATGCTCTTCCTCAAAGGACTCATGTTTTTTCTCCTTTTCTGTTTCCTCTGCCCTTCAGCCCAGGCCTGGACAAGGACTCCCTGGCGGTACTGCAAGCAGCAAAGCTCTCAAGAAAGATCTCAGGTCAGACCCAAGGAGCCACAGTTCTTGATGCTCACGCACCGCCTGCAGCAGCAGTGTCTCTGGGATCATGCCAGGGTGGGAGCTGTTCAAGAGCTTCTTGTATTTCATGGAAACCTTTCTGCTGATTGCAGCAGCAGGGTGCAGCTCTCTGAAGCTTTACAAAGCCTTACCTGGAAGGGCTATGAGTTTTTGAAGCTCCTGTTTCAGCCGGCTGATTTCTTTACAAAGCTGAATGTCATCCATCCTGCAGAGACACAAATGAAACCACTGAGGGAAAGACTGGGAGAGGAAAGGTTCAAAACCTCCAGAGCAACACCCAGCCAACACTGGAAGGCAATGAACCCAGTGCCCACGGCGGGGAGCACAGATTTACCTGCCTTCCCACAGGAAACAGCAGCCCACTTCATCTCAGAGCTTTTGCTGGAGCTACATGGGTTGTGTCACTGGTTGTTGGCAAAGAAAAAGCTTCATCGCTCTAATGACAATGAAGCCTTATTAAAACCTGGCACATCCACCATGCAATAGCAGCTGTGTTTCTCCTTCTCCCCCAAAATAATCCCCAAACAGCAAAATCCAAAACCAAATGGAAGCTGCTGCCACATAAAAAGATCTGACATTTTTATACTGCCTCTCTGCAGAATTAAAAAAAGGTAGAAAAACGAAACACAACAGAGGGGGGAAATGTGCAAGCCTTGCAGGTTTCCGCTGAGAAACAAGGTCATTTTAACAGGAGAAAAGGAGCCTGCCGAAGCCACAGGCAATGAAATTGTCTCTGGCTCAAACCACACGACAGCAGCAAGATACTGATCAGGATGGGCTCAACTCAAATGTCAGTGGCAGCAAATGGGGGATGCGCGGCCCTGTCTGTGCTGGAGGCAGTTTGATGATGTCTCGGAAGCACCACAAGCACTCAGCCCCCGCCATGGGTGTACCAGCTCAAGTGCTGCTCGCTGCTCACTAGGGCTGGCAGAGATGACTTAACCCAATTTATTTACTGATTTATTTTTAAAAATCACATGCCTGTGCCCTCACTAAAGCCCTGCTTGGACAAGTCTGAGGAACGATGGTGTCTGGCCATGATAAGCATCACTGCTTCAGTTTGAAGAGCTTTATGCACTCACCCGCGGTGAGGGAAACCCCGAGAGCAGACAGTGCTCATGGCTGAGACCTCTCTCCACCATGAACCAAGCCATCCTTGAGGATCTCCCCTGGGTAGGTGACACCACAGAAGACGAGACAAGTCACAACTCCAGTAACCCCCAGAGCTGCCTCTGGTCTGCCTGCCCTGCTCCCCTCCTCCCGACCTCTCTCATGCCAGCAGCCTCTGGCTTTAGAGTCTTCCTTGTTTTGCCCTTTAGGGTCATTCCCTCAAAGTCCTCCTGCTTTCTGCCAGCAACTCATATGCACAGCGAGCAGCGACCCAAGGGCTGCCCAGCCCTGTCTACCCTTCCAGCAGTCTCCAAGGTTGCATCAGCCTAGGGCCAACCTTGGCCAGCCGCATCTCCAACCGAAGCATGATGGGACCAACCCTTCTGACACCTTTTCTCCTGCTCTGAGCCCTCCTTGGGCTCCTCACACATCCCTCGCTGGGAAGATTAGGAAAATGCAATCCTGCTCTGATGTGGCATCCCAAGCCTCAGCACAGTCCAGCCAGCCAGCAGCCAGTGAGGCACCACTTCCTTGGCATTAAGGTACTTGGGAACTGAAGTCCCTGATCAGGGATTTTGGCTGTTGGCTCATTTGAAAAGAGTGTTTTAAAGCCCCCGCACCCTGTGGCAAGGCGCTGAATCGCCTGATCAGGGTTGGAATGTTCAGCTGGGATTTGGGATGCTTTTCTTCTTTCTCCAGGCTTACTTTGGCGTGGCTGAGCCACTCTGGTCAGACCCTCTGGCATCTCCACACCTCTTGCTACCTAGCCTGAAGCTAAAAGAAAGTGTGTCCATCCAAAATCCAGCCCCAGATTTTTCATGCGTAACAGGCTGCCACACCCCCAGGACCAGAAATTGTGCAGCTGGTGCATCAGGAAGCAAGCCCTTCATTGACACATCAGTCCTCATGCTCTCAATACACGTCTTCCAGGAGCTTGGAGCCAGCAAAGGCACCAGAATCCCCATGGCAGAGGGTCTGGAGTCAGACAGCACATTCAAACAGTGCTGAGCAGCTCCACCACCAGAAGAGGGGGTTCCAGTCATCACCCTGAGGTAGATGTGGACATTCTGGCCAGAAGCATTTCCTTACGACAGTGCAGCTAATCCACCGATATCTCAGGAACACCTGTATCTAAGGGCTCCCTGGACCTTAGAGTTGTGACTGCAGCCCTGGATGTTTTTGACAAAAGACGTGGGCACTGAACATTGAGCAGTCTGTGCTGGGAAAATATCTGGTGGCACAAACCTCTCAGCTGGAGACCAGACGTGTCCATACAGGATTTGGCCCTGCGCTGCCCTGTGCGTGGTGTCTTGCCTGCATGGGGTGGGATGGGAAGCATTTGCCCCCATTAAACATCACCATTGGTGGCCAGTTTCATGAAGAAGCTGGTAAGCACCAACACTGCAGGGCACAGCGGTCGACCTGTCTGGACAGAGCCTCCAAGAGGAGCAGCATATCCAAATGTTGACTACAGGGAATCAGCCAATCCATTTTCCACATAGACAGAGGGACCATACATCCTCCTAAGCCCTACCAAGCACCCCAGCATCTCAACACAAGCTTCCCAAGGTCGTCCAAGCCTTCGATGCAGAAGGACTCCTTGGGTGCTTTGCAGGGCACACGGGAAATCGTCCAACCTGGAACAGCACAGCTGAGATTTCCAGCAAACTCCATGGCCATGAGTGACGAGAAACCCTAATGCACAATCTGTGTCTACAGATAATACACGATTGACTCATGAGCTGGTGCCACCTTGGACAGATGTGCCTTTGGTTCCCTTTGAAGTGTGCGTTCCTAAAAGCCCTGTCTGCATCTTCAACAATCCTGCTGGCCCTTCCACTGAGTCATGCCGTCCACCCCTTCTGGGATGAGTCATATTTGCTGGAGCTAATGAAGATACAGCTTTGTCAGCTGAGCCGAGGACACCAGAAATATTGATTAGGGAAGGGAAAATAAACAGACTGACGAAGAGGGACCCTGTGAGATATTTATGAAGGAGAAGAACATCCCAGGCGGGGGAGAAGACTTCCTCTTGGCTCTGTCAGACTTTTGCTCCATCTGACAGCGTCTTCATTTGTTCGCATACCGCCCTGAGCAGGTCCAGCAACGCCAGTGTCTGGGAGCTGCACGTGGAGAACAGGGAGGTCTGTTTGTCCTTTTATTCTCTGCTCATAGTCCCATGGTGGCTGAGCCCTGAGCTTGTACAAAGAGCACCAGCGAGGAGGTCTGCATGGGACACATGGGCAACAGGCTGATAGCTAGTGATACACTTATTAAAATTAAAATAAACACTGAAATGATAACTGAAATATTACTGGAATTAAATTGGAATTTAATTCCGTAAAAACTGATAATGAGAATAATAAATGGGCAATAATAAAAATTCTCATTTCAATAAAACGTGGGAGAGATTGCAAAGACAAGCACCTAGAAGGCTGCTGCTGGAGCTGAGATTACTTCCACCACTGGTGATAAAACTTATTGCAGCATCAGCCATAGCCGCGCTACTCCTGTCTGGCCCCGGGGGAGCAGATCAGAGCACTGAGCGGGTGAGGTGCAGAGCTGAATCTCCCACAGGAATTTCAGACCTTTCTTTTTGCCCTATACAAGGAGAAATATTGGGAGCTTCATTGTTTTCCACAGCACAGACATCTCAGAAATGTTGGAACGTTTTAGCTTGTCATTTCCGTCAAGTAGAAAACACCGATCGCTATCGACTGACCAGACAGATCACTCCTCCGTTTGGCAGCACGTCAGTGGAGATGTCCATCGCCCTGAGCCCCGCAGTCCAACCGATCCTGAGTATTACATTTTTTTCCCCCACTGGGAAAAAAGCCCCTTTCAGCCCCGGGTCCCCAACCTGTCCTCCCGAACCCAGGTCGGGGACCCCTCTTCTCCAGCAGCGATGCTCAGGGAAGCCCTCGGCTTTCCCTGCCTTGCAGAGCCGCACTCCTCCGCAGAGCCGATGCTCGAGTTCCCCACAGCGCCTCCAAACCCCTCAGACATGTAATCCTGGCATTTCCAAACATCCAAGTGATCACTTTTGCATCCGTACCCACCCCAGTATGTGGCTTCTGTAGGTGATTTCCTTTTGTTTCCCAAGTGCAAGCCAAGGAAGAAAACAAATAAAGGGATAAGAAAAAGCAAGAGATGCGAGTTTTGACAGCACCTGTGAGATTTAGGTACCGGTTGCCATGGAAAGCATTTAAGAACTACACTTTTTATGATTTCCAAAAATCCTTTTCAACAATATATTCAGGGGGAACTATGCCTCAAAGAGGTCATCACTCTAAATCTGGGCCTCTCAACCACAGTCCAGCTCACAGCTTCCCCAGACAGCAGATTTACACAGGCATTTCCAGGCTTTGGTGATCTCTGTAGCGCAGGTACCAGTGGGGACCCAGACACACTAAAAAAGCAGCATATCAAGTGCTGCAGCCCAGTAAATATGATTTTTGCCATTACCAGTAAAAGATCCCAGGCTTTGTGTTGACCTGACAGCATGGGATCTCAGGACTGGGCTGACTACAGCAATTTAGTGGTATTAAAAAGCTTAATCAACCCAAACTATGAATGCTAGTCAGTCCTTTTCCTCCCAGATATACCCAAGGAAAATGTTCTTTATCATCCTGCGTGCTGGTTCGTACCACTGCAACACAGTGACTATTTGATTGCCTTAAATGTGAAAAGCCTCCAGATTTTTACTCAAAAACTGCCTTGGTTGTTGAAATGGACCCTGGAGAAGATCTTTTCCTCTGCACCCGGCTGCAAAGGCTGCGCTGGCAGTGGAGAGCAGGATGCAGTGCGGAGACGGGCATCGGGCAGCAATGCTGGTCCAGCCCCGATGTGTCCTGATGTCCCCCGGCAGCCAGGGGATGGGTGAGCAAAGGAGGAGCTGGGAGGATGTGTAATACTGCAACGTGGAGGGAGTAAACCGTGGTCGTGCGGCTGTTCAACAGCGGAGATTTGCATGCTGGGGCAAAGCGCTATCTCCAGAGAGCAGCCATGAGCCACCAAACCTCAGGTCCCTTCCCAAGGCCAGCCCAAGAGCCAGAGGAAGAGTAGAGTACGGACCCACTGGAAAGATGGGGTGCTTGTGGTTGGATATGGAAACATTTTAGTGTAGTTAAACCCACGCCATAAACTCTGTTTGCATAGCTCAAATCATGACAGCATCAGTGGCAGCTTTGTAAGAGGGACCCGTTGAAGCCCCTTCCGAGAGCAAGGCCAGAGCAGTGGGAGAGGCTGCGCTTCCAGGTGGAAAATTAGGTGGAAAGCGGCCTCAGCTCTGCTCATCCCCAGAAAAGATCCATGTTTGGTCGGGCAGGCAGAAAACGCTGGGGTGACCCTGGGAAGGGGGGACAGCACGGGAGGAGGCAGGTACTTACATGTACCGCAGCTCTGACTCCCTCCTCACCAGGATCTCCCTGATCCTCTCAATTTTGAAGAGCTCCCCTTCAATGTCGTCAATGGTGGTGGTCGAGTCGGCCATGGAAACAATCTCATCCTCTGCAAATGAATTGGGAGCCACATTAGCCAGCAGGAGTTGTTAAACATGTGCTGAGGACAACAGGGACCACAGGACTGTCACAGGTACCCCCCCTGCAAACCAGACCAGCATAACCACTAAGCACGTGCAGTTATAAACTCGTTTTCAGGCTTCTTGCTACCCTGCTGGGTGCTGCAAGAGGAGACAGCCCAACGGGCACATGGAAAGTCACCGACATATGCAAGGGCATTGAGCTGCTGGCGACAGTGTTTTGCCTTTATTTATGCTTTGCGTGAGGCTGAGCACTGGAACAGGTCTGCTCGTTGCTGCGTTAGCACCAAAGCCGGTTCGGCTTGCTAAGCGCAGCTCCAAACATGCATGCGATATGCCTGAAGTGTCTGCATGAAAGAAGACCTCGGAGGCCAGCAGGCCACCTCATCTGAGCTTGTAGCTCTCTGAGCCTTAGAAACAAGCACCATTTCACCTGCTTGTGCTGGCTTTGCAGCACACCCTGCTCACACCAATGTTGTGGCGGGCTCTGCGCCGCTGAGAAAGCCCCAAATTTCCAGGGGTCTTCCCCTCTGCTGAACAGCAGGAGGCCAAGGGAGCTAAAAACTGCTGGAAGGAAGGACAGGAATATCTCTTTTTCCAGAACCACGTAAGCCTCAGGCATCTCCAGCACATGGACAGACACCCAGAGACAGGAGCCTGTCCTCCATTATGTGCCAGGACCAAACGCTGGGCCCATATAGCACAGAGGGGCCTCCTAAGGAGTCGTGAAGCTCCCATAGCTGGTCCCTTTCCATCACAGGCTGGATGAAGGTCCCCCCCATCCTTCCCAATTCACCAGGGGAAAAAGCCCCCATGGAACCCAGCAGGCCAGTTAGGCTTCCTCATCCTCTGGAGTGCTGAGCATCACCTCTATAACCCACTTGGGGAAACTGAGGCAGGGAAAGGGCATATCATTTGCTCAGGGCAAGAGGCAAGAGCCTCACAGCAAAATGCAAGAAAAAGGGGCTGTAATTTATGTTTTAGAAGAGAGCGGTGGCAATCCCAGGGACAGACAGGACAAGAGCCCAGCAACCTCGATCCACTGCTCTGACCACCAGCTCTGCCTGCGCCCCCTCCACTGATTTACACACAGATGTCCCTCTGATGTGCCAGTGGTTTGCACAAGACTGTCACACCGATTTACACAAGGATGCCGTGCTGATTCACACAGTGCCTGCGAACCTGCACGTCCCACAGTGGCTCCCAGCCCATTTTATGGGGGTAGCTGAGGTTTTGCTCCCAGGCCAGCTCCCACACCCCAGCCTGGTCTGGCTCTCAGAGACACATCACTGAGCTTGTTATCAGTGACATGCAGCAGCACATTTATCACACGCAGGCTAATCTGGCTCTCCTGTGATGTGCACACAGCCCAGGTTGGGGCGGGGGGGCTCAGCAGCTACAGCAAAGCCAGGCTAAGAGAAATCATTAAAAACCACAAACATCAGGGGCAAATTCTGCTTCCTTTGAATCGCCACAGGACACATCTCCCCTCTGAGACTTTGTGTTCCTGCAGCCCTGGGACTTTCCCCGTGCAGGGAGGGGGAAAGCACAGCCAAGGAGCACCAGCTCTGGGAGCAGGATTTTCTGGGCAGCTGAGATCTGGGAACTGGAGATGTCAGAAATGGAGCGTATGTCTTGGGGATCCCAAACAGGACCCAGGCCAGTGCTGAGCGTTACAGGTCAGGAATGCATTAAGGCACAAGGCAAAACACTCTGCACTCACTGGTCCTCTACCCATCATGTAAAACTGCTTGAGAAATCTTTCTGAGTGAGGCATGTTTCCCAGGCTGCTGGCAAAGAAGGTTTAATAGTGGAAATACGAGTGGTTTGGGTTAGCGCAACTGATTTGAAGAATAGTTTTCCACTGTTTCTGGCTTAGAAACTCATGAGGCCTACTTGGAGATTATCTCCCTCTTCCCCTGGCCAAAAAGGCCACATTCAGCCAATGCCAGCCTGCTGAATCCTCGACCGTTCCCCATTCTAAGCTGTGAGGATGCTCTCAGGAACCAGTGCCTGCTCAGGACAGACCAACAAATACATGGGTTAGGTGAGGTGTGGGGTTGGATGCGCTGCCCTCCATCAGCTCTTGCTCAATGCCTCTGCTGCAAATTTGCACAGAAACCCTCCCTTAGCCTTGTTTCTACGGGCCTGAAAGGGGTTGCTAGGGGACCGGACTGTGGTTGCTACAGGACCAGGATGCCGTTGCTAGGGGACCGCACTGCGGTTGCTAGGGGACCGGGATGCTGAGGTCCCTCGTCCCAAGCATCCTGCTGCTCTGCCACCCCAGAGCTCCTCTTGCCCGGGATATTTTGCTGCACCCGCACCCAGCGCTGCCGAGCAGCTGGGGCCATGCGCCGGGGACAGGCAGGATGCCCCTGCAGATGGCAGCGGGCACGCCGTGAAGGTGCAGACGGTACAGCCGGCGTGTGCTTGTAGGCAGCCACTCCCTGGGGTTCGGCTGTACTTCAGTGCAGCTCTAGACCTGTCAGAAAAAAGCTGCATTGCTCTAAGTGTTGTTTCTGTGACCTGGCTAAAATGACAAGGCTGATTATTTTACAGATGTTCCAACAAACAAAGATACAAGATTACTGCAGCTTTCGTTAGCCCAGGACAAATCTAATCATTCCTAGAAGCACAGGGGTGGGTCTGGGGGAGGGGGACTGTCACTCCTGGCCTGGGTGGGTGGGTGAATAACCCAGAATATCTTTGATCACTGGTGGCAGAAGTATTTGGCTGAGGTTATGAGCCAGCTGTTTCCCAGTGGGTGAGCGCAAGGGCTTGAAACAGGTGTCAGCATCACTTCTTCGCCCTTCTCATCCCAGAACCTCATTAGCAGAAGCCATCCCAGATGGGAGAGGTGAATCCTTGCCTGTGTACATGAAGGGAGGAGGTGGCAACGCTGGGTTGCTCTCCCCCGTCTGTGTCAGGAGGCTGGGATGTGATTTCAGCCCCTAGGCAACTGCCCACAAGAGTAAGAAAGCTCCTGGCTTGACTGTGGGTGGGTTCCCATCAGAGACGGGGAATACAGCATGGCTGGGACCACCCTGCTCAGAAGGAGCTGCCCTCAGGCACCCCTCCTCCCCGGTCACCTTTCTGTAGGACACTTCCCAGCAGCCTCCCACTGCAGGTCAGGAGCATCCTGTGAAATGGGGACAGTGGACAGGTCTACACCATGCAGCAGAGCAACGGTTGCAGGGCTCGAGCTGGAAGCTCCTCAGCCCTTTGCTGTGCCTTCAGGGTGGTGTGGTCGGGGTCACGGCACTCTGCGTCCCTCGGGCAAGATGTGTCCTCAGGCACGCCAGGGAACTGCTCATCAAAGCAGTAAGTCCTGGACAAGAAGCTCTGAGAGGACAGTCATGTGCCTGGAGCTGCTTAATTCAGGGCAGAAGCAGAGGAAGGGCAGTCGCAGGTGAGTGCTCCTGCAAAATGAAGCCCATGAACCCTGGGAGGGAGCACCTGGGCAAGGGGACACAGGGGCCTCTGCACCAAAACCATCCACCAAACCTCACAAGAAACCAGTGAATCCATACAGGTGACTACTGTGCAGCTGATAGGATGGTAGGATGAACTTGCTGATGGAGACTCCTTCCACCTGCCAGTGTCTGCTCAGGACTAAGAACTGAACATCTGAGCAAGGGCAGGGGCTGGAGCACGGGACGGATGAGGAGAGGAGGAGAGAAGCAGGTTTGTTCAGCCCAAAGAAGAGACGGTGAAGGGGGATCTCATGGCTGTACTCACCTATCTAATGGGAGGATGCAAAGAAGATGGACCCAGACCCCTTTTGGAGGTGCATAAAGATCAGACAAGAGGTGATGGGCACAATTGAAACATGGGAAATTCCAGTGAGATATTGGGAAAATGTTTCTCCTCAGGTTGTTCAGACACCGGAACAGGGAGCAGAGCGGTTTTGGGATCTCCATCCTTGCTCCAAAATACCTCCTGGACAAGGCTGTGAGCAACCTGATTTAACTACTAAGCCTGCTTTGAGCAGGGGGTTGGACTCGGTATCTCCAGAGGTCCCTCTCGATCCAAGTTCCTCTCATGTAATGAGATCAGTCTGTGACGACCGATCGGGATGCGCATGGATCTTCCCTGCTAGCTCAGGAGATGCTTTCTCCAGGCAGACATGGGGTGATGCTGAGTTCCCGAACCCCAGCAGCTACAGGCATGGGCCAGATCAGAGCTTTCCTGAGAGAGTGCTGAGACCAAAGGGCACCGTGCACTCATGAACCTGTGCGATGGCAGCGACACCATACAGCAGTCACAAATGGCAAGTACAGACACTCGGAGCTCGCGAGGGATTAAGACCCGGCATGTCCTGCAAGCAGGCAGCCGGGCAGAAGATCTCACTGGAGATGGTTTTGCCAAAGCTGCGAATGTGTTTCTTACACCCCGCCGAAGGGCCTGGCACCAGCGAGGGCCAAAGGCAGGGATGTTTATTAAAGCTGTGATCAAGCTCACAGTCCTGAGTCTCCCTTTGGGGATGGAGAGGGATGACGCCCATGTGCGGCCACGCTGCCCGGGGGTCCCTTTGCTTCCACAGCTGCGCACACAACAGCGGAGCCAGACACAGAAATCAACCCCGCGCTGCCCGAGCAAAAGGACACCCGACTGGCACCATTTCAAACCAGCAAACCAAGGAAGGGGAGAAAGCTTCGATTTAAACTTGCAGATGCTCTAATCATCACACATGGCCCAGGGGAAGCAAGTATCATTAATGAGGAGTATAATAGCCAGAGACTTCCACTCCATATGGCTCTGGTGAAAACATTTAGACAGCCAGCAGCAAGCCTGAGATGAGTCACAGCAGCAACCAGCACAGGGCTGAGTTTCAAGCGATTTACTTCATGATTAAAGTTGGGCGATTGATTGACAGCCCCCTGGGGAGGGGGTCAGAGCTCTTTACTTGGGCTCCATCCCAAGTAAAGAGCCTTTAACTCAGCCGCGTGCTTTTCTCTGCCATGGAAAG